GTTTCTCACTGTTATATTCTAATCTATATGTATTGATGAAACGTTATCATATTTTATAGTGGAACTTTTGTTGAACGAAACTGATCTCAATGTATTCGTCTATACTGGACACATGGACCTTATCGTTGATACGCCAGGCATGAATTTAATATTTTACACGTTATTTATTTTTTTTTCTTTCTTTTTTTTATTTTTTTTTTTTATTTTTTTTTTTTTTTTTTTTTTTTGGCAATCAGAGCGGAATACTCGAATGATATTAAAATAATTTTTTTAGGCACAATACTTTGGGTTGACTCATTGAAATGGAAAAATTCTAATTATTGGATTAACTCCGAGAGACGTTCATTGGTCTTCGATAACATTATCGAAGGTTATTCTAAAAGATACAATAACTTTGGCGTTTATTGGGTCAACAGGGCAGGACACATGGTACGTATTTTTTTTTTTCTTTTGTTTTCTTTTTTGTTTTTTTTTTTTTTCGTTTCTCTTTTTCTATATAATAATTTATTTTAAACAAATATGAACTAGTGATTATATGAAAGTTGTTCTAATAAGTCATACGTATATATAAATGTATATATTTTTTTTTATATTGAGATAAAATATTTCAATTGAGAAATTATTAATTAAAATTGAAATGAAAAAATGCAATTTTAAATAATAATTATTTTTCCATAATGACAAGCACAAAAGAGAAAGGGTAAGTGTATGTATTTATTTTTGACAAAATGAAAAAAAAAAAAAGAAAAAAGAAAAAAAGAGAAGAAAAATAATTCTCTTTTATGCGATTTAAAAAAAATTTTAATAATAATGCGCGCACCATGCATGTGTGTATTTTAATTTTTCAAATGATTTAAATCGCTTTCATAATCGCCAGTTCATTGTATCATATATTAATAGAAAATAAATAAAAAATCTTTAATAAGTACATAAATGATAAATTTTAGGTACCAAAAGACAATCCAGCAGCCATGGGAATGATATTAAAAGATTTGTTAGATAATGCATGATATCAATAATTTTTGTTTAATATCATGAATGATCTCATTATGTCGAACCAATAAAAATATTTTTTGAAGAGAACACCTCGTATATAAACACATTTCACTTTATTTATTTAAGTATTTATATAATCGATTATCGAAAGCGAAATAACAAAATTCATTCAGATTTATATTTGATAAAGGCAAGAACAATACACGCATAGACACAAACATATTTATATATATATATATATATACATATATATACATACATATATATATATATATATATATATATATATATATATATACGTATCGGGAAAGAAGGAAAAAAAGGAGAATTTGTGGTGTAAAAAAATTTTACAAAAATGTTAACCGCAAAACAAGTCAAAATTCATAAAATGTCTGATGAACGATGGACCACGAGAGACAAGATAAATCAATATCGTGGTGTTCTCAAATTATACGGTTAATTAATTAATTTTTACGAATAAAAACGATAAAGGAACATTTTTTTCATTATTATGTTTGAATGGAAGAACAGAGAAGAGGAAAAGAAAAAAAATTGTCATAAAATATCCATATATACATATATATACATCTTTATCCTTTATCACAGCTCGAGATAAAAAGATTCGTGCATTGGAATTGACTAAATTAAAGCAAAGAGTATTGAAAAATTTGAAATCATTGCAAACGGATGTAAGAGAATATCGTGATATCGTCAGTCAAATTATTGATGGAAATAAAATTCGCCTATTGCCGATATTACAACAACACGATAATTTTCATTTAGCCTTTGGTCAACTTGAATCAGATGTAATTTAATTTATCAATTTTCTTTTTCCTACTTCGAACATTGTGTAATTAAAAAAACACTATACGATTGTACTATTATTATTGCTTCTATCAATTTTTAGAACGCAACGATGGCGAAATTTTTTTGACGATGGATTGAAATCAAATTACAATTTTTTTTTTTTCTTTTTTTTTTTATCTACAAGTAACAAATATATTGTCATTTGAACTGAGTAATTTAAAAAATTATCAAAACAAATCTTTCCATATTTAATTCTTTTATTCGATCTTATAGTACGAAGGAAAGAAAAAAAAAACAGAGAGAAAAAAAAGGAAAACAGAAAATCATTTTGAGATTTCATTAGAAACGAAATATAGATAAATAAAAATATTCTATTAATCTAATAAATGATCTTAAGATATTTGTCGCATTTCGTAAAAATTCATGCAAGTTACCAAATATTTCTTCCTTAATAATTAAAAAACTTTTAATTGAACCTTTTTTTAATCGCCATTGGTGTTCTGTGATAGAACATAAATTTTTTTTATAAATATAAAAACATTAAAAATATTTAAATATTATAGGAACTTCATAAACGAATTTATCAGAACAGCGAATTGTTTCATCGACAATTGGATAAGTTGCGTTACGAGAAGGAGAAATTAGCTAAGAAATTTTTCGATTTACAAGTACTGTTGCCTCTTATCTTTAATAAGATAAAAATACATACATACATACATACATACATACATACATACATACATACATACATACATACATACACGTATACGCGCACATTTAAACTTGATTCGTTTCTATCGAAATATTTAAATAAATTTTTTTTTCCTTATCCATTGAAAAAGTTTGAAAAATGTTTCCTATTGGAAGAGGAAAGTGCAGAAATAGGAACGGACTATTTCCTTGAATGTTTGATGGCATATTTGCAACGATCGGTATCTAAACTAAATGGTGTTAAAGCCATTCGAAGTACTTATTTAAAGATAATTAATATTTTAAAGAAAGTAAGTTTGTTTGTTTGAAATTTTTATCTATCTCATTAGAAAAATTTTTTTTATTATTATTTCATTCTCATTCTATATATAGATATATATATATATATACATACATAGTTATATATATATGTATGTATATAGGATGCAATATATTATGATGCACTTCTTAAAGCTCTCAAAGATGATCAAAAGAATCAATGTAAAGTGATAGTAAAGACAACGATAATGGGCCAATTGGCGGCAGAAAATCTGGACGATTTGAAAATAAAATATAAATCAATGACTGTCGACGTTGTGAAAAATATGAAAGAAAGAGAACGTACATTAATTATAGCACGTGAACGCGTTGCCGATCTTTGGGAATATGCGAAATCTTTAGTACGAATTGAGGTACGTATTTGTTCCTTTCTTTTTTCTTTTTTTTTTTTTGTTTTATTTCTTTAACCTTTTGTTCAAACAATTTTTTTCTTCTCTTTTATTTCTTTATTTATTTTTTAAATTTCTTCGAAAATTTTCTTTGAACTTCATCAATTCACAAAATTAAAATTTTAATTCGATAATAAAAACGCGATCACACTTAAGACGTTACATCTATCATTTATTCCTCATTTAAAGATAAATTAATTAGATACTAATTAATACATATCGCATTCATAGAGCGACGTTGTTCTTGCCAAAAAAGATATCGACATTAATGACTCCGTTCATTTAGAAAATCAACTTAAACGTTTGGAAGAAATTTGTGATATATTAAAGGATACCGTTTTAGTTAGATCTCATAATGAATTATTACCAAGGTATGTCCAAAGAGTACTAATGATAAGAATAAGAATAATGTAAAAAAAAAAGATAAGAATAACGTAAAAAAAAAAAAAGAAAAAAAATAAAAATATTTCAATCGTTGCATTAGACTCGAAGAACAAATGAGACAGAAGGTACGTTTGATCAATCAATTTAATTATAATACAAAAGAACGCGATGATCTTTTACAAAAAAAGGAAGAGGCACTTATCACTCTTGAAAGTCTTGAACATACGATGCTAGCTACGACAGGACAGTATGTAGACATTATTAATCTTTTTGCAATATTAAAAAAAAAAAATAAAAAAAAAAAAGGATAGAAAAAACAATGAATCACGATTGAAAGATATATCAATAGAATAAATAATCTTTTATCTTAGATATAGGACAGATAAAAAAGCTATGTTGGAAGAAATGGAAATTCAAAAAAAACGTATTATCGATTATAAAGATCTAAGAAGATCTCATGGCGAATTATCGATTAAGATAACAGCAGCTTTACAAAATATGTTAGTTATGCTTGTTTGCGTTAAACAAACTAGATGGTTACCAAAAATGAATAGCAAAAAACAAGCAAAGACGCCTATTGTAGATGAATTAGATGCCGAAGATACGGGTGAAGCTGTCTTAGAGAAAATAACACCAAATGGTTATTAATTTACAAGTTATTCGAATTATTCGTAGTTTTAAAAAATTCTAATTTTATATATAAAAATTCGTATTAATATGTGCAGGTTTATATACTTTCTTTTTTTTTCTTTTTTTCAGGCATAGTATTATTGGCACAAATTACTCGAAAAATGGGTGTTCTTTTCGGAATAAGCAATTTTGAACTCGATAAAGAAAAAGATGAAAGAGCGAGACAATTGTATCAAAATTATATCGCTGATTATAATACCTTTACACTCAAAGGGAAAGACGAGTTAGAGCCAGGTAGAAATTTCATTTGATCATGTACATATATATGTATATATATATATATATATATATATATATATATATATATATATATATCCTATATATATATATACATATATATTATATAGGATAAATTAGGTAATTAAAAAGTAAATGTTAAAATGTTTGTTATTTCAGCTCTGATCGTTGAACATGAAATCATAGATCCAAATGTATTAACGCGAGCAGATGTAAAAAATCGAAGTAGAAAAGTGGTAGAAGCTAATTTGAAAATTGATTAATATATTAATATGAAAATTTCTTCTTTTATTTATCTTATTAGAAAACTCTTTTAACGAATATATAACGTAGCAGAAATATATACTCTACTTTGGATAAATATATTGTAAATTTCTATAAGCACATATGTTTTAATAAATATATTTTAATTATGAATAAAAAATAATAATAATTATTATTATTATTATATTATATTATATTGTTATATACTATAACAAAACAATATCGATTATAGTTATTATTATTCAATATTATTTATACGTCCCCAACCTAGCCTTTCTTTTCTTTTTTCTACTCTCAACCAAGTAGGTACAGGAATTTCAAAAGCATGAGCATTCGGATATTTTAATGGTGGTTCTGGTTCTTTGAAAGGATGAACCTTTTTTAGTTTCTCCAATAAAAATTCCTTATTTATTTCTTTAGGATCCCGGTACCTATCTAAATATAAATTAAAAGCTCGTTTTAATGGAAACCATTCCTGTTCCTTTATATGTGGTTTTGGAAAATCATACTCAAATATTGGTTCTTTTGTATCTAAAAATATATATTAAATTTTTCAATTAATATATATATAAATAACTTATATATATATATATATATATTAAATATTAATACATACCTAAATTAAAATGATAAAAATCAGAAAGAGATTGATCCCAGTCGGATTGGAAAAATGCTAATCCTGCTGGCGTTATATAATCTTGAAGTTCTCTATAAAAGTCCAATGTATTCCAATCGCGTTCCAATAAGTTCAGACTAAAACATATCATAAATAATGAACCGATCCATTGAAAACATTTATAAATAAATCTCAAATTTAATATATTAGAAATTATTTCTTTTACCAAGGCTGTTCTTTTTTATATTTTGTATAATCAATATATTTATCTTGTTTATATAATACAAATATATATCTACAATATCCAAGACCTCGTGGTGGTATTGGCCTTAAGTAATCAATTAATTGTTCCCCTTTTGCTATATCATTTCCAGGAATATTTCCGCTATAATCAAATGTAATCTATCAAAAATTTTATCCCTACAACTACAATACAGGAAATAACTATAATATATATAAAACATAAATTTTCTATAAACTTACATGAACCAATGGCAATATTCATTATTAGAATTAGTAAAGTTTCCGTCTGGTGTAGTCATTAATAATGTCCATAGTGTATCTGAATTAGCATCATATTTAATGTTAGGTTGGTCTTGTGCCTCACTTGGTTTAATTACATTTCCATTATACACTCTAGCAAGTTTATCCTCAGATCCAAAATCATAATCTATTTGTAAATGTACAACCGGATAAAAATATGCATCTTTATATAAATGTTGATAGATTCCATAATGCTCTGCAATTTTATAAATATGTTCAGGCCCATGTGTTTGCCACCAAATCTCTCGTATTTTCTCTAAATCGACATTTACTGCAAAAGAAGAAGAAGAAGAAGAAGAAGAAAAGAGATTATAAAATTTCAATGATATTCTTATAAAAATCATTATCTTTTTACAGACATATTGATTGATAAATTACATTGAATAATTATATTTAACATGCTTACATTGCAGTTTACGTGATATTTTTTCTAACTCAGGATTTATTCCATTAGCTTTCATTTCCTTGTTCCATTCTTTTATCATCGTTGTAGGTATTTTAGATACTGGTAAACCAATGTTAACTTGATCTTTTAAATAGGATTCTTTTTGATTCAAAACTAAAAACAAATTGTGTGAAATGTATGAAATTAATGAAATATTTACGTTAATGGATAATATTTACCTTTCAGTCGTCTTTCTAATGTATAAGCATTTATTGGATTTTGTCCACGAATAAAATGGCCATATCGAACTTGTTGACCATTAATATGTAATAAATCGCTTGAAAAAGAATGAAAAATCCTTCGCGCCATGTTTCTCAGTTGATTTATGGAAAAAAGAAAATATTCTAACCTCAATTATTTTTCCTCCATCGAACGATATACGCTACTCATCACAAACGTATGTTCGTTTATCATGTAAATGTAAGATATTACATGAACATAACAAATTTAACTCTTTTACATATATATAATATTTATTTATTATACGCGAAAAATGTAATAAATCTAACGTTTTTTTTCTAAATTATATAATAAAATTATAATGCTATATAAAAAATTCGAACACTCATATAATGAATTTTTTTCTCTTTTTAATAGCAAGATATTAAATTCACACGTATTTAAAGCAAAAAAAAAATATATATATATAAACATTATTTATTTGTTAATAACAAACACGATTTCATTGATAAACGAAAAAAAAATTATTATAAATATGTATATATATATTTCTTTTTATCTTTATACGATACGCCATTTTATCTCTCTCACTCCAATTTATTATTTTATAATTAATAATCTTAGTTAACTTATTTTATCTAATGATTAAAATTAATAATAATAATAATAATAATAATAATGAAGATGCTTAATCTACGTTGAAATGAGTATGTGTGTAATTTGTATATTCTTATTTATATATAATGAATATAATAATGCAATGAAATATAATGAACGTAAATATATTGTATATATTTGTTGTAACGTAATAAATTGAAAATTATTACGATATTAAGAATTATAATTTTTAAACAAATTCATAATGATTCAATAGAATCTTTTATTTAAATTGAAATTTATATCAATATTGAGGTTTAATATGTTCGAGTTTGAATTTTTGGCGGGTTAATGAATAATTGTTAGCAGAGCGCAGTCTACAAATGGCTACTGATACAACCAACGATGTCGTAGAAATGCGATACCAAGGAATCTTATTTTATATATAAAAAGTGACGATATTAAAAGTACCGAAACAACGGTGATTGATGTTTCCCAAGCGTTTTATCGCGAATAAAACTTTTCGCAATTTTCTACCGATTGCGACATCTCGTTTTCCGCGGGAAAGCAATGTCTGGATATCGGAAAGTGAATTACTACGAGCTGTGCAGATTGTGTACCAGCAGCGAAGGCAATAAAATGAACATATTTCGCGATGAAGGTCGTAGGCGACAACTTCAAACAAAAATTCAAACATGTTTACCCATTCAGGTGAGGAAACATGCTTTTGACATGAAATGGACTTGTTCTTCGCGGTATCAAAGTTGCTCTGTTTTTAGACTACAGCAAGCACTGATAGAAATTATAAATTACTGTATAATTCCGTCCACTGCTAGAAAAAAAAAAATAATAATAATAATAAATAATAATAATAATAATAATAATAATAATAATAATAATAATAAAATAAATAAATAAATAAAATAAGAATATATGCAATAAAGAAGTTTATAAGAAATTCTTAAGTATGCCTAAATTCAATGAAATTCTCTGTAAATTCTACTTAATGAAGTTGCGCATAGAGAAGCATATAAGGTTTTTCAATATATTAAGACAATCCATATTCGTGTGAACTTCAAGGTTTTAGAAGAGGATTCATTACCTAAAATCGTCTGCCACGAGTGTGTCAGGAAGTTGGAAAATTTCATTGAGTTCCGAGAAACTGTTGTTAGTGCAGAGGGTATGCTCGAGTCTTATTTCACTTCGCTGCGCTTTTCTGAGGATTTTTTAAAAGAAGGTAAAGTGTATGTAAAAAACATTGAAAAGGAAAGACCTTCAACTCCAGACGCTGAAGGTTTAAAATCCGTGGAGAAAGTATTATCAAATGCAGGAAATCAAGTGCTAACAAATGAACAACATGGACAACATCAACAACCTGTTGTCGTTAGCAATATTAATGCGTCAAATATACAAATCATCAGTGGTGTCCAATCTAGGGTACAGCAATATAAATGTGCCATGCAGGTTTGTTTCAAATGGAGTAATAAATCTATTCAATTACATTCCTTTTTTATATATTTTGTGTACACACACACACACACACACATATAATTATTTATATATGTATATATATAAAATACAATTGTATATTATTATTAGAGTTATTTATGCAGTTTATAACTTTATAAAAAAATTGCTTTTCATTTTACTTAGATGCAATCAAATGGTGATATGTCAGCTGCAGTTGTAGAAGCCACAGCAGAAACTCACTACAGCTGTCAACAGCAAACATCTCAGCGTGTATCGCCTCAAAGATCAAATGAGACACAAAATGAAATCAGTGAACCACAAGCTCAGTCACCACAAATCCAAGCTACAAACCAAATACAAAATCATAATCAAGTGGTACAACAAGGACAATCTCAAAGACAAATTTCACAACAATTAACTCAATCTACTCAAATAACACAACAAAATCAGACTCAGCTTAATCATCAGCAACAAGGACAGTCACAGATAACTCAGCAGATACAACATTTGCAGAGACAACAAAGACTTCAACAAATAGATAAACAACAAGTGCAAATTGCTACACAACAGGAATTTATTGTGAAACAAGAGCCATCATCTCAAGTTGTTCAACAGAATAATAATATTATACTTAAAACAGATGCAGATACAGAACAGAATCAACAAATTATACAAAAAGTTCAATCCGATGGCCAAAAAGAGGAGAATACGTCTCCTTGTCAAAACTATACGACTGTACAGGCTGCTCCAGAGGTATTTTTGAGTTTAGGATTTAAAGAAACATCTTTACCAAATCAATCTGTTCAAGATGAAGGGAAAGATTTCAAGGACTTCACAAAAAGTGCTAATGATGATGTAATGTCTCGCACATCAATTGGACAAATATCAGAATTTCTCAGAATCAGATCAGGCTCCGAACAGGCACCTTTAATTACCGTTAATCCTCAAGTTATATCACAATCTACTAGGAGTAGCATATGCCGTAATTGCGGTAAAAATTTTTCATCCGTAAGTCAAATGAATAATCATACTTGTACGCTGGTAAATGAAACATCAGATATCATAGTGAAGGAAGAATCTTTACAAGTTAATGGAAATTCTTTTAATTGTGATGTCTGTGGAAAGCCTTTCAAAAGAAAAGAACATTTATTTCAACATCGAAAGCTACACACTGGAGAACGTCCATATGTATGCACAACATGTGCCAAAGCTTTTAGTCGTAAGGAACATTTGGTTAGACATTCTGTATCTCATACGGGTCAAAAAATGCATGAATGTGAATTGTGCGGCAAAAGCTTTTCACGGAAGGACAACCTTCACAAACATCGAAAAACGCATGGTGTAACAGGTCCTTATATTTGTGAAACTTGTGGAAAATCTTTTATGGTGAAACATTATTATGTGATGCATTTAACAACTCATGCACCGATTATTGCAGATGGTGGTTGTCATGATCCTTTGCCATATAAATGTGACATGTGTCACAAAGCATTTTCCGTAAAGCAGTATCTGACTGCGCACAAATATAGACATAGAAAGAATAATAACTCTGCACAGAACACTTTAAACAGGGATCAGCAACAACAATCCCAACAATCAAATAATAATGTTAACAATATTAACGTCGTGGGGAACAATGTTGCTACATCAGGAAATATAAATGACAATAATGGCCAATCGAGTAATGAACCTACAGTGGAAATACAAAATGTTGTTGAAAGAAGTGAACAGACTAATGGTTCATTTAATAATAGTCAATATCATAATAATATCCAAGAATTTCAATGAGACAAGGGGAAGCGTGTCTATTATGTTCTCTTGCCAAATGGTAACAACCATAAGATAGTAGTTGTATAGGCAAGAGAAATTTTATGACGCGCTCGATTATTTTGTTAGTTTATTTTGCTCTTGATTGTAAATTTTTTCTACTTTGATACGAACGATCATAACTAAAGAGCAAAGTTATTATTTTTAATAAGTTAAAGCTTTGACGATCGCGTTTAATGATTCTAACAAAATAAAGTCAAAGTCTTAACTAGTTTGCTATTCATTTGTAAGTCAAAAAGTCAAAAAACTTCATAAGAGCTTTCTATATGAAATAATGTGTATATAGTTATATATGCACATATATTCTGTGAGCAAAAGATATTATTTATGAAGAATGTATGCTACACATACACACACATACACGCATACCTTTGATACAGATCGACAACTTTGGATAGATTCTATTAAAAATAAGGGAAACAAAATACTATCTAAAATGATCAAAGGTATGATGGTCATGAGGTTGTTCCAACATCTAATTTGGATTATATTTATTAACATTTGCAAACTTTGATAAACATTTAACAAAAACTAAATATGTTTAATATCATTTATAATATAATTGTAAAAGATAAATTGCACACAATAATATATATATATATATATATATGTGTATATGTATATATATATATTAACAACTGATGTATACCGAGTATAAATGTGCCAATACCAAAAAAGAAGGATCAAACTTTAAAAAAAAAAATCCAATACTAATACAAATATAAAAAGATACCGATCTATTTTATTTATATAAAAACATTAGATTAATTTGTTGTGAAATAGATGTATCAAAATACTCACAGGCTCATGTTTACTTTCATAACTGATAGAAAGATCGATTATTAATAATTTTATATGAATCCATAGAAATTTTATTTTGGATTCCAGTTCATAATACGCCTCGCATATATTATACGTCAATTATCAGAATCACATAAAGCAGCCCTATTCGAATCAGTGATTGTAACAATCCATGACATTTAGGGGAAGATATGTTTATATGAAAATTTAGAGAGTATTGAACAAGAAAAAGAAGACCAAAGAAATTTATACATGTATAAAATAGAGATAAATAATGTTTTATTAGTATAATAGAGATGGACAGCAGGGCCCAGAATTAAAATATCATAGATTCCCTGTATTAATGATTTCTTGTTAAGAGATATTGATAGTCATTTCGTATGACAACACTGTCTCATATAGATTCTATACAACACATTATGTATGTAGAGAAGTTATGTTTAATCTTTCATTTTCGCAATATATTTGAGTGCAAGAGAAAATGTAAGGATAAGAGCACAAATTAGAACAATGAGTATATGTAAAGTTACAAAAAGAAAAAAAGAATGGATGAACCACGTGATTATAAAAACTTTAATTAAGGGTTTAATCCGCTACTGACCAAAAGAAGAAGAAGAAGAAGAAGAAGAAGAAGTAGTAGGAGATGAAAAAAAAAAAAGAATAGTAATCGTGTATTTTTATTTTTTAGGTCGCATTTAGTGAACAACAAAATTAGCTCATTAATCAAACCAATTATTTTTATTTACAAATAGTAAAGTAGCCTTGCATTTATAATCATGAAATAGGGGATGGTCCCCATAAAACTGTAAAGAGTTTATCTACAGTTTTTAATTACGTAAGAATACTATATTTCTCTCAAAAATATAAGATTCTGTGTATAAACAAATTGTCACCATTTACTTCGCCATATTTTCTTTATATTAGACTTTATACTTGTAATATAATAAAGCACATAGTGTGCATACTATCTGTGCAGTTCAATTTTTGTTGTGCCGAAAGCGTTGGTAATAATTTTGATTTATTAAGGATGATTCTCAACAACGCGAACTTACGCGAAAATATTTATATCTATTTGCATTTTTCCATCTCTTTTTGTATTTTCTATATCTCAAAGAAAAATGATAAAAATTTTAAGTGTATCAAAATTTTTATAAAAATCTTCTATAGTACAAAGAATTCATTTTCACTTAATACCAAATTGTACAGAATAGATATGTGTATATGTGGTGTCAGCTATCATAAACCAAAGACTGAGCTTTGCCAATATTTTATTATTAATAAAAAAAAAAAAAAACAATTGTTTCAATTATTACATCAATGTGTCTTCAACGATGAAACATAAATTTTTAAAGGCAAGGCATTCTTCTTTTTATAAATTCTTTTGGCATTGTATTATCAAAAGAATTTATATATTAAAAAATTGATATCATCAAGTTCTAATATTTTTTTCTCAACATTTATCTTCTATTGGAATTGTAAAGAAATCAATGGCTGTTTTTTATCCTTCATGAATTGATTTATTACATAACAATAACAACAAATATTGCAATGTACAAATGTATTGTGCTTAGTTGGTGATCAGTAATATTCAATGTTTATTCTCTATTATTAATAAATATGTAAGTATTCAAAAAAAAAAAAAATATATATATATATATGTATGTATATATATTATATATGATTAATACTTTATATTGTTTTTACTATATATATTATATATATATATACATATACATATATATACACATACACGCACACACATTGTGTGATGATAATACATATGTAGTAAAAACAACATAAAATATATTCCAAAATATATTCGATAAAAATGATAAATAAAAGGAATTATTTGAGTATAAAATAAATTTATTAATACCTAATATAATTGTAACATTATGATTTTGCTTTTGATTGATTTATAGAAAAAAAAATCGATTATTGCTTAATATAAATAAATATTGATTACATTTTTGAATAGGAAATTTTTCCAAATTTTACGTTTTAAGAATTAAAAAATTTTACATATATACACATATCATACATGTATATATATATATATATATATATATACATATATGTTATGTGTATATGTGTACTACATGCAATTTACCAATGGCTTAGTTGCCTCACTTAGTATACTTTTTCATCGCGAGATAGTGTTTGAATATATTAGCACCATTTTTGATTCCAAATGACATAATTAAAATCTTCGCTTTTTTGTACCAGATTGTTTCTTTATTTTGTTTTAATATGTTCGTGTTCAAGTAAATTTTCCTAATTATACCTTTACAAGGATTTAACCTATAAATTTTCATAATCGCAATTTTTGTTCAATTTTGACGATCAAGGATTCATTTCAAAGATAAAAGTTTTTTTTTTTTTACAGAAGATTATCTTTTCAGATTTTCTAAAAAATATTATCTTCTTTGGAAAAATCATATCTAACAAGTATATAATTTTTAAACAGAAGAAAAGCCTTAGACAATTTGAAAATCGGAAACAATGATCTAGTGTAAAAAAAAAAAATCTATATCTTTCGATATAAATCATTAATCATCAAAATCATAGAAAAATTGTCAAAAGAATTTATGAATGTATAATAAGCATTTGCAACAAGTTTAATGGAATGAAGGTATTACAAATTCAAAAACACGGTTAAATAGGGCATATTTTTATATGAACTTTTTCTATCGTTTTCGTATAGAAAATTCAGAATCAAAACGATTTCCCGAATTTATGAAATACCTTGTATATACAAAATAATAAATGTATAAAGGGAAATCAGGTAAACTGGCCAGAACGGACGAAGTGATCATGTATATGTATATCCTTTTGTAATAATTATAGCTTCAATGTATCAATGTAAATAAACATTAATAATATTAGTATTTAGAAATCTACTTTACCATCAGTTCGTAATCAGGAAAAATTTTCTTCATCACTGTCGATAAATATATTTTCGTTTTATCTTTCCATATTGTCCATTTTTCGTGTCTCAATGCTATAGATAGGTTATTTTATTATTTAATGTATTCATTATTATATCTGTTTTAAAATATAAACAATGTAATATTTTTTATTAATATATATAATAAAATTACATATATATATATATATATAAAAATATATAAAATCACACGTAACATATTACGATATTAATCATGATCACTCATTTCTCTGAAACATATACAATGAATACATTAACATCCTAAAAAACTCAATACTCGATTGAGATTGGTTAATTTTCTTACACTTTCGTTTTATATTCGCCTGGATTTTGTATGACACGTGAGCATTCACATCGACACGATGTATTGAGATAGAAGATGGAATTCTCATAACGCACTTTTAGTTTATTTTTTTCCCGCATATGTCGCTAAAGTCATCACGTTACTTGGAATATTGTATTTCAGCCTTTAAACTTTTGTTATAATAACCGATTCAATTCGAATTAAATTCGACGCTATGAACGGTTGAATGGTGATATTTTATTATATATTTAAATATGGCTTTACGTCGACGTCGAAGAGATGATTTCACCAATTCTTTGAATAATTTTCGTAAGTCAATATATTTTAAAGGTTAACATTATAAATATTTTAAATAATTAATAATTTTAATTGAAATGACATTAATAAATTACCTGATGTAAATCAAACGAATGGTAATTTAGTAATTTCATCTATCATTTTTCAGAATCGCATAATTCATTAAAACCAATCGTTGGAAAAAAATGTGACATTAATTTATCCAATGATAAAGATATCGGGAATAATGTATTTGCGATAGAAAATGACACGAAGGATTATTCACTAATATCCCAGAATAAAATAAGTGATGAATCGTATAAAAAATTTGATAACGTATTGTTTGTACTGGATAGTAAATTGAATCCAACAGAAGCCAATTTAACGAAGCAAGAAATTTATAAGCGTCTCTCTGAAAAATATGTTACTTCGCCACAAAAATTTACTGAAAGATTAATAACAATCATCGAGGAGTCCATTATAAACAATACTATTAATGCTAGCAATAACTCTCTTATTAATTTTAATCAAATAAGTAAAGAGTTGAATAAAATGTGTAATAATATAGAGAACGAATCAATGCCAGAAAAATTGCTATCATCGACAATAAATATATCACCAAATAGAGAAATATCAAAAATTGCAAATTCTAATGATTCTATTAATTCCGCACAAATTACAAATGATAATTATTGCACAGATGTAAAAACATTATCATCCATAAATCTGAATTCTTGCAAAATGAGAACACCAAGTCCAATTAAGACTGGCAAAAAAGTCTATCGTAAAACACCAATAAATGTTTTTAAAACGCAAAACAAAAGATTACGTGATGTATCACTTTTACCATCTATTTCAACTGATTCATCATTTGAGTATTTAGAAGCTCAATGTGAAAGATTATTTCCTAATGAAAAAAAGAATCCAATATCTGTATCTACCGTACAAGATAATAATAGTTTCTTAACTATGGATCGCGTTTTTACTATTTGCGAACAACAAATGGCTTCGTTAAACAGTACAGATGATATAAAAATTCGAAAGAAAAATAAAAAGTCAATTGAAGAATTGAAACGAAATTCAAAGGATTCAGGCTGTTCTCATTTATATTCAATACCAGAGAGTTCTATTTACAAGGATGAAGATAAAAATAAAAAATTGAAAAAAGTAACTCATAAAAGATGTAAAAGAGAATTAGATACTGAATATCTAAATTCTGCTGATGATCTAAATAAATCACTTTTATCAGAAATTGTCATAAAACGGCGTAGATGCCTTGATACGGCAAAAAAAATGATGGAAATTAATTCAGAATGTAATACAATGAAAGGAGAAAAGAAATCAAAAGCATTTTGTAAATCGATAGTAGATATTAATTCAAATAAACCAAAAGATAATGATAAACATTTTATGAAGATATTAATGTCCTGCGAAGATTATCATAATTATTTGGACGATCAATTAACAATATTAGATGCATCTTCAATTAATTCTACATTTGATTCGACTATAAATGAACTTAATAAAAATAATAAAATTAATAAAAATAATAATAAAAATAATATTAATTTAATAACAAGTACAAAGAAAGCATTTACAAGATCCAATCCATCTATCTCGTATAATGAAAATTATGAAAAAGTTTTAGCAAGATGGAATATTCGTGAAAATATTGAAAAAATATCTGAAACAGTTTTGAAGAATAATAATAATTCTCACTTTTTTACTACACCTGGGAAAATGTTGACAAAAGAAAAACACAAGCGAAAAATGTATTTCTCAGATTCATATATTACGAAAAAACAAATATCACCATTGAAAACTTCGACGAATCGTAATTCAAATTATAATACTAAATTATCATTGGGACGTATATATAAAAATGAAAATCTCAAGTCCAAAAGAGTATCTCTAAGAAAATTGTCCAAACAAAATGTCACATCTATAAGTAAAAATAAAGAGAATAAAAAGTGAATTAATAATATGATAGATTTCAAAGTAACTAATATAAATCTGTCTATGTTAATTCATTTTTTTTTTTTTTTTTCAATAAACTTGATTTTTCAAATAACGTTGATTGTCAGCTCAACAAAAGATATTATATCCAATAAATATACTGTAAAATCATACTTGCTAATAATGAACATAATAAAAGGTGTATAATTGAGTTTATTCAACAAAAAATTTATTTAAATATTTGTTATGGTGATTCATAAAAGTATGAAAACTACAGAGGCAGCATATTCTTATAACAAAAATGATCTATTAATACTAATTAATTTTTATTGATCACATGTATATGATATTAAATTTTATTAAATAAAATGTAAAAATCGTAACATCGTCTAACAACAGTAAGCTTTTATATTTTATAAATTGTCCATGCAATATAAATAGGTTAAATTTTATATCTGTAAATAAGAGATGTAATTTTAAGGTTATTTCAAATTAGTTTAAATGATTAGTTACTAGATGGTGCTTGAAATGCAAATAATTAATTGAAAACAATCATTCCAAACGCAAACTCAAACTTAGAAAAATGAAATACTTCTAGTAATATATACACACCTTCATAGACATTTAATATATCGTTTATATCATAGAGATTAATTTTTACCATTTTTTTAATGTAACTAGTTCGAGAATGTATATATACAAAATCGTTCTATTTTTAAATACGCCATTTAAATATATTATTCGCGCCCTTATTAGGAATAAATAATAAATTTAAATGTATTAATGAAAATTTTTTTTGAACGATTTTTATTTCATTTTTAGAAATATAATTTTTTAACTATAAATAAATAAATAAATAAATAAATAAATAAATAAATAAATAAATAAATATATATATACATTTATATGTGAAAAATTCTTTTTCAATATAATTCGAATGAAAGATTTTGTTCATATAAATTATAGATTTAAAAATGTTATATATTACAATTTTCATTTTAGTTTTGGTTTATTTGGTAATAATTTAATATCTAGAATTTTTTCATTTGAAACGCGCAATAAGTTAACAACCTGCTGAATAGAGTACCGTTGACAGTTGTACGCAATCGATAACCGTATTTGTTGTGTTTCCATCGTTCTCTATTTTAAATAAAATTGTGGAAAAGATACCGAATACATTGTTATTAATAATTCTTCATAATATGGGAATTTTATGTGCATCTTGTTGTAAAGAATCATCTTCATTTGAAGACACAACACCTGATTTGGTAAGTATTATCTTTTAATATTATATATGGAATTTCATTATTTATTACATATGATTACATCTATATATATATATATATATATATATATTTATTACATATGATTACATGTACTCAGTTATTTATATATATCTTCTTAACTGAATATATTTATCTCTTAAGAAAAAAAGAAAAAAAAATACAATCAAACTAATACAAAATATTTTGCATTATTAATTGATGAAGAAAAATAACTTGTCATTCATTCAATTTGTATTCATAAGAAAAATTAATGAACGAACTTTATAAATTTGTAAATGGATATATTAAGATTTTGATTATAATTTTTTATACTAATTCATGTTTTTTTTTTTTTTTAGGAAACAAGACGAAGAAGGCAAATGGAAGCAGCCGAAAAAAGAATAGCAGAACAGGAACAACGAGGTATAAAAGATATTGAGTCGGTCAAAAGAAAACAAAAACGTATTATGGAACTTGAAAAACGTGAAGAAGAAGCTGGTAATATGAGTGGGCAAAGCAAACTTAAGGTACAACGTGTGATTATTATAATGCGGAAAAAGAAAATGTCTTTTAATTTACGTATTTTACATAATATTAATATTTCTAATATAAGATTGTTGTTAGAAATTGAAATTATTATTATTATTATTATTATTATTTTTTTTCTTTTTTTTTTTTTTTTTTTGTTATATAAGATTTTAATGAAAATAATTGATTTATTACAGTGGCAAATGAATTGAGTCAAGAAAAATGGATACATAGATAAAGTGCACTTATTTAAAAACGAATGATATATATATATATATATATATATATATATATACATATATATATATACAAATATTATGTCTTGTATAAATGTGCAAAGACTATTAAGAAAATAGTAAAATATCTTATCGGCTATACTATGTGATATAATACTGAATGTTTCGAATTTCTATTCTTTAAAATAATAGATTTCTTTTTTTAATCTAAAAATACATTTTATTATTTAATACAACAGTTCATGTTTTTCATTAGGCATCTTTTATTATATAATTCTATAGCATATAAAAAAGACTTTTTTTTTTCTATATAACAAGTATTTATAACAATGTTATATGATGTTGTGTTTGCATATTTTATAGCTTCTGTATTATTATTACTGAGGCTTTTTTCTATTGTAATACTTTTCAATTAATATCTCATATATATATATATATATATATATATATATATATATATATGTATTACTTTTTTTTAATGTATCACTGTTACAGAGTTATCTATTTTCTTATGTCTTATCTATTTTCTTATATAAATGTGCAAGAAGACCATACAAACTTGTGCATAATTTTAATTATTACAAGAATAATTAAAACTGTTTATTAAATATTAACGCAACAACTGAATGTTTCATTATTTGTATCGATAATGTCCATACTTTCAGAAATAATTCATATGTTAATATCAATAATTATAAAATGTAAAATGAACTTTTGTAAATGTATTGATCTGGAGATAAAAGACTAAATTTATAGATTATTGTTTAAAAATAAATTCTATACTATGTGGAGAGAAAATTCTTCTAATAATTTATTTCATTGTAAAGATAAAATACTTATAGAGAATATATGGTAGTAATATTGCAGGGAAATCCCATTTATAATATTTACTATTTATTACGTTAAATCATATAGAGTATATTTTTGTTATTAATACACACACACACACACACACACAATCTTGGATATAAATTTTCAAGTAATATTAAATTACATTTCATATGCGTATTTTTTTGAATTACAGATTGTTAATGTTATATAAATGTGTTTATTGATAATAAAAAAAAGACTATCCTTATTTTTAATTATATAATAAATTGTATTCATTTAATCATTTGCTCATATGATTTATTATACGATAAAAAAAATCTTACATTAATAAAATAAAAAAAAATTGTTATTCAAATTATTTTCAGTTATTAAGTTAATAATCGATGATGCAGATGGCAGTACGAGTTCTATGTACCATTAGTATTTTACTAACGTACCTTTTAGTTCGTTCGTACATACTAGTCCTTCGCGTCGATTCGTTGCAATGTGTAGTTAATAACGATTAACAACAAAGTTTACTGTTCTTTTCAAACGTGATTAATATCGATTAACTTTTCCGATGACGCATTACGGTTAAATAAACTACAATACATTCGTAGATATTAATTGAAACATAAACAAATATCGTTTAATTATTAACAATGTTTATATATACATATATATATATATATATATATATATGTATGTATAAACAGTCAAGATTAGAAATAATAAAACGATAAAAGACATTAATATAATTAAATTCTTAAACGAGGATATCCAATTGATAAAATAAATAATGGTGAGTTATTAATGAATTACGATCATACTTTTTTTTTTTTATTATAAATTTTCAAACTTTTATCTTTCGACAATAAAAAAAAAAGAAAAAAGCTAGTAACTCAGTTAGTAATATAAAATCATTAAAATTTGAAATTAGAGATAAGAAAAAAATCAATGAAATTTTCCTTTTATGCAAATTTGAATTTTAAAAAAGAAATACGAAAAAAAAACCGGTATTTGTATGTCCAAAAAATGGCGCGTAATCGTTATCCCTTTCTCTCTCTCTCTCTCTCTCTCTTTCTCTTTCTCTCTCTATTTCTGTCTTTGTCTCTATCGCACGCACACTCGATCTCTATCCAAAGATGGCGTTACAGTTTAAGCGGCGCGAGGGTCGAAACGGCGCATGCGCGGAAATGTACTACGTACTTAGGACGCATTCAAATGGTGGGGGTTCGAAGAAGGCGGTGCTTAGTACGACTGGAGAACTGGAACGATACGGAATTCGGAACGGACCGGGCCGTGGGACAGTAGACAAGGAGGAGAGTCCCAAGATGGCGAAGCTGGGATGAAACGGTGTCGCATCGTGGGGGCGGTTAGTCGTCGATTTCTCACGGTAGACTGTGCATCCGTTATGCGCGTTATCACCGGCAACTCGCCTTGACTTTCTACGGTCGATCGAAGTTTAGCGATCGAGATTTTCGATGCTGTACAAATCGTATTATTCGATCGCGATAAAAGGCGCGAGGAAAGAAGAAGTGTCGTATTCATCTTTCTCATCTTTCTTTTTCCTCTTCTTCTGCTACTTCTACTATAACTTCTTCTTATTCTTCTTCTTATACTTATTCCATTTACTTCTTTCATTATATTCTCTCGGTGTTATCGAAAGGAAGAAAAGGAAAGGGGCGGGGAAAACGTGCGCGGGAAGATTGACGCTAAAGTGATTAAATAATATAATATAAAATAAAGCAAAGTAAAATAAGATAAAATAAATATAAAGTAAATAGAGAAAGGTAAAGAGAAAGGAGGAAAGTAAGAGAAAAGAAAAGAAAAGAAAAGAAAAGAAAAGAAAAAGCAAAGAAGAGAAGAGAAAAACAAAAAGGAAGAAGGAATTGGCGGTGGGAAAACGTTTGAAAAAAAAAGAAAAAAAAAAATAAGAAAGAAAGAAGGGGGAAAAACCGCGTGTGTGGGGATCATCATCATCATCAACATCAATCCATTATCCGTGGCGAAGGAGAAAAGGTAAACAAAGCGGTATGAGCGCGGTACTGAATAGTGTTGTTGGAGGTGTTACTGGAGGTGGAGGAGGCGGTGGAGGTAACACCATCACCACCACCACCACCACCACCACCAATGCAGCCGTCGCTGTCGAATCGGCAACCGGTTTACTCGATCCCGACGTTGAGACCATCATCGAGGAAAAAAATCAATTGATAAGCCGGCAATATGCAGAAATCGAAAGACTTCAAAGAGAACTCAGAGAAGTCATCGGTGAACGTGATGCTCTGATCTGCGAGGTATCAAAATTCAAGTTCGAGCGCGAGATGACCGATCTCAAACGTCTCCACGATGATAGGTAAGTTTATTACATTTTAATTTCTTTTCTTTTTTTTTTTTTTGGTCGCATTATTATTATTACAATTACCATTATCATTATTATTAATAGCATATTTAGCAAATAATTTACATGTCCCCTTTGTGAGTTTATGACGGGGTAGGGATGGGGGTAGAAAAGAAAGGGGTGGTAGGGAGGGAGGGTATATTCGACACTGATTTCAAACAGCCACAGTATCGTGTACGTACTACTACTTTGTACATACGTCTTATCTTTTTATTACGACATTCAGTTTAATCTTTCTGCGCTTGCAAAGATCAAGGCGCATTCCTATGTAATAGAAGAATTTTCTTATATATCAATTTTCTCTTACTACTCGTACATATATATGTATATATATATATATATATATATATATATATATATATGTACTTAGGTATACTATACGAAGTGACGTTATAAATCAGTATTCTCAAATTTCCAACGGTTTTTGATGTCTCAGGTATGAAGAGACGAATAATCGAGGTTAGGTTTCTTCATTCGAAATTTCGTACGGTATGACGTTACCCTATATATTCATACATAGATATAACTATATATACCTATACTTATACCGTATTATATATGTATATATTTGCTACCTCGTAGCTGCCTCGTTCAATCAAGAGATGACCTTTTTACTTTTTTTCTTTTTTTACTTCTCTCCTTGTTAATTACGGCTTTGTAATCATTAAAACCTTTGATCGATATATTCATACACACACATATTATATATACATTGTATATATGTATATGCACGTATAATGTACAATAGGTGGGTTAATTAAGTATTCGTACGGTCGAAATAATTGAAATAGATTTCTATTGTACAAAATACTTTTATAAGTCGTTCCATATACATGTATATGTATATATATATATATATGTATATATATAATGGATATTAAATTGTGTTGTATGATAGATTTTAATATGGAAAAAGGAAGTCCTCTGTAGTACTTTAATCGTTAAGGGGAATGTTAACATATATGCATAAACGGTAGAGATTATTGTTATATCCGGATAAAGAGTGTCAGTTAATATACCAAGGATATATCTACTTCTGTTATGTAAACACAAAGACATAGTTTGTTGACATAAAGGAGATTGAAGAGGAGGAGGCCATGTAAAACGCAGAAGCAAAAAAAAAAGTCTTCTCTTTACTGTTTTTTTTTTTTTTTTCTTTTCTTTTCTCTTTTTTTCCCCCCATGCTTCTTTACGTTTAATCTTTCAAACGATCTCTCGTAAAAGTTATTTAATCAAGGTTATTATTATAATCGTGACACCGACGTCTTCCGGAATGAAAAACGTGCAATCGACAATCTCTGTAATACTTCGGTAATATTATCTATTGTCTCGAATTCGGTCAAATTTTTCGATATATCGATCGTCTTCCATGTATAGACATATATATATGTCTCTATGTATGTACATATGTATGTATGTATGTTAGGTACATACATACATACATATGTATGTATGTACCTAAAATATATACTATGTGCTTAATGTACGTACGTACGTACGTACTAATATATAATATTTATGTAACGTAATAATGCATTTTTATTAATTAACTCAAATATATATTTAACGATATCCTTTCTTTTTTTTTTTTTTTTCCTAATTTTTATATGTATCCATTTATGTATATATCTATGTATGTATCTATTTATGTAAATCTTACTACGTAAGACGATACATTTAACTCTGATATCACGATTAGGTAACGATTAGAACGAATTAACTTTTCTTTTTTTTTAATCCGTATATTATTATTTACGATATATATAATTATGAAATATATACATACAATTTTATATAGCTATATATATATATATATATATAATATGAGAATCGTTCTCATAAAATTTTATATACTTATGTATATATATATACGATAAATATCATAGATAAAATTTATATCGTAAATATATAAAAATTTCACGATATTGACTAGTTTCCATCATCATCATATATATATATATTTTATCGAATACAAATATATATATATATTAAATTGAATAAAAAACATCGACAACGAGATTCACGATCATATATCGTCATATTATATATAAATTTTGTAGGGAAATGAATTATCGAAATGACATATTATATCGGCATTATTATATCGTCATGTGAAAATTATATCAACATTTCTTACATTTGTTTATTTCATTATTAATTTTTTTTCTCTCTATCAAATTGATCCCTTTTAAAGAAGCCATTAAAAAAAAACTTAACAACCGACAAATTTTTCGTTCCTATTGAAATGTGAAGAATGTTTTAAAGCTTTTATCGGCGCCTCTTCCTCCCCCGCTCCCTCCCTATACCTCAGTCAATTTTATTGTCCTCGATAAACATACAGTTCTTTCGTTTCCGTTCACATGCGAATTTTTATTATCGGGAAGGACAATAGGTTAGAGTGAAATAGTAAATATATATGTGTATATGTGTCACACACACACACACACACACACACACACAAATATACGATATATATATAAGAATGACGTTCTGCACTTTACTTAACGACGATGACGACGACGACGTATATAAACTGCGATCTCTTTCTCGTATATATATATATTTATTTATGTATTTTCTGTTTTTGTTTCTGTAATAGTTTTCTTTTCTTGTCTCTTCTTCTTATTCTTATTCTTTTAATTTTTTTTTTTTTTTGCTTCTCGAGACGTGCTTCGAAAATAATTTTTTTATCGAACGCCGCGCGTTGATAATGCGTTGAGATATCTCTGCCATGACTCATGATAAATTTAACATCATCACGTACCAGATAAATCTAATATGTCAATATACATATTTGCGTTTGCTTGATTTTCTACAGAAAATTGAATACGTTCGATACACTTACAAACACATGTACATACACACACACATATATATATATATACATGTATGCATGCATGTATGTATGTATATATGTATGTATGTATGCATGTATGTATGTATGCATGTATGTATGTAACGTATGTGTGGTAAAGTAGATCGAAGTAGTTGAGAGAGATAGAAATAAAATGATAAAGAGAGAAAGAGAGAAAGAGAGAAAGAAAGAAAGAGAGAAAGAGAGAAAGAGAGAGAGAGAGGGAGAGAGAGCTTTCTCTTTTATATATATGTATATAAATAAAAAAATTTTACTTGTCTCTCGATATGGGAACACAACGGAAGTGAGAAATGTATCCTCGTGATCTACGAATGAAACTCGTCGTAATTTTGATGTGAAAAAAGAAACAAAAAAAAAGAAGGAAAAAGAAAAAAAAAAGAAAAAAGATAAACTGTTATAAAGAGAAATAAATAGATATTGGAATAATTTATAAAATTAAGTATGATCCTATCTAAGAAGTTTTTAATTAATTTTTTTTTCTTTTTTTTTTTTTTTTTTTTTTTTTTTTTTTGTAATATCTTTAGCTTCGTTTATTTTCCGTAGTTGTCCAATCGATTTTTTCTTTGTCAATGAAATTATTTTTATAATCACGTTTGTAATATCCTGAATCAATTCGAATGATCAATTACGCATGGTGAATACCTATTTTCGTATATGAATCGTTATTTTCTAACGAAGTTTTCATTCAAGTCGACTAATTAGGACTGAAGTGTAAGACAGAAATTTTGGATTTAACTCAATTCGAAGTTAGAATACGTGGCAGATATCAATGTCTTACCTTTTGAAACTTTAAGAAACAAGAAATCGTTAAATCGACTTTTAAAAATTTAACAAATGAAGAAAGAAATTATGAATTAATCTAATAAATAATATTTAAAATTAAATATCCGAAATATTATCTATATATTTACAATTTTGAAATAAATAAAGTTTACGTTAGTCTGGATCAAGAAAAAAAAAGGATAAAAAAAAAAAAAAAAATTCTGACGTCAAATCGAACTTAATTAATATAGAATGGACCAAAAGTTCTTAAGTAATTTATAAAATTAATTACTCCTTTTCAAGACTTTTCATTTCTTTCCTTTTCTTGTTTCTTTTATTTTTTTTTTTTTCCAGATCGTAAAATTACCGATTACAGGAGTAAGTCCAAAAAGTTTTGCGAAAAGTATAATTGATTTGTAACTTTGTGTTTGTAAAATTGTGTTGTGACTTTTTTTCTAATATTGCCTTGTAAATAACTTCGAATCATTCCATATTTTTGCATATTATACGTATATATTTATATTTATATTTATATTTATATTTATATTTATATAAAGAAAAAAAGTTTTTTAAATCAATTAAAAAAGAAAAAGGTAAGAATCCAGTACGTTTTCTTTTCATTTTATTTTTTTGCTCTTACATAAAGAGGAACGAGATCGATGTGTTACGTGAAGGGTGGTCTAAGGAGTTTATTTCCTAGCAGGAAGTTCGACAAGTATCCCTTAAAAAGATTTCTCGAATAAAAACACGTGTAACAGGAATCGTTAGATCTCTGTTATAAAAGTTTAATGATGATCGAACAACAAGCACAGTAGAAATGCGTGTAATTTATTAATGAGAATCACTTAAATACAAACGTTTGTTGATCTCTCTTTTTTTTTTCTCTCTCTCTCTCTCTCTCTCTCTCTCTCTGTCTCTGTCTCTGTCTCTCTTTCTTCCTCTTTTTCGATATCGTTTCGATCAAGACGACCAAGGTTGATTGTGAGACTCACGTGGGACGTGACTTCGAAAGAAGTTCGAACAAGTTGGCATATCGTTCCTTCATCTTTAGTATGAGGAAGGAGTGAACAAGAGAAAAAAAGGAGGGAAGAAAAAAAGAAAATAGAAAGGAAGGGAAAAAGAGAAGAGAGAGAGAAAAAGAAAAAGAAAAAGAGGATGATTTTATGCTCGCGAGCGCATAGACAGATAGATAGATAGAAAGAAAGAAAGAGTTAATGCCGTTCCCACAAGATTGAATAATATATCTATGCATTATATCACGACCCTCGTGAATGCGTACATAGTATCATTAATTACTAATTGCTACGGTAATAATGAG